TGAAATACATAGTTGGTGTATGATGCTCTTTCGGGAAACAACGACAGCCTTTGGATTGGCTTCATGTAGGTTGAATGGCTATTGCTCCTGATATCATTGCCGCAATGTTATCATTAATAGTGGTACTACATGTATGATCGCTATGATATATGGTGATCAACATACCACATGTTATGTATATGCTGTAGCTATATGGGGAGTCTGTAAACACTGGACTGGAGGGACTACTGAACTATACTGGAATGGCTCATGGACTGGATTTTGTAATCGTGAGAGTTTTATACATGTTTTTAATATGGCAGACATAACACATGTACCATAGCGATTATTAACTAATTGTTGCAACTATATTGATGTTGCGTATCATTTGTTTATGTATAAGGTTCCTGCCCTTTTGTACACGACGTTGCTTACAGGATCAGTTTTGTTTTGTTTTTTTTACCAATGCATGATCGATTTCGGCCATGTTACACAAACGTCTAAAACGTTTTATAAACGGCTAGGCTGTCTCCCACAACTTATGGTACATGGGTCGTGTCTGTCATATTAAATAATATTAAATTACATCCACGGCCTGCACGCAGCTATATACGTATACAGGTAGTAGATTATGAGGCCCTATATAAACCAGAGACTACATTAAGACGATTGTCTGTCAACGGTTATACAGCCGCTGTTATTTGCTAGATAGTCAATTAAACATAAAAACTACCCTACACAACGCGCAATGATGCGCTTAGTAATATTACCCAGGTTTTATTACAACACTCACAGCCATTTAAGCTGTCGGGTGGCGGAACAATATTTAATAATAATCATGAAGAACAAATGGGCGATCCCTATTATGAACTACTAGCGTGGTTCATGATGTACAACGTTGCGACAAGATTTCATCATCATCACTAACTATTTATTCGCTAATGAAGTTTATTTTATTATCATTCAAGCAGTCTCCAAACTTTATTAAGTGTAATTAATTTTAATCATGCTTCGCCAGCTTAGAAAAAAGAAAAGGTGACATTCTTAGATACTGATGATTTTTGCATCTAGAATTATTCACGAGACGGGTTATTCGGAGGATGAATGTCTTCAGTACAAACCAGTGGTTCACAGCAACACGATACAAAGTCTGATGGCCATCATCAGGGCAATGGGACAGTTAAAAATTGAATTTGGAGATCCATCCAGAGCGGTAAATAGACATTTTTTACTCTAAAGTACCATTGGATTATACATCTGTGTAATAATTTATATAAAACAAACAAACAAAAAAACTTGCATGCCGCCAGAAAGTGAAGACGTAATTCACGTGATAAGTCTATATTTAATAACTTTACAGCTTAACACCAGGGCTTCTGTTTCCGATGTTTATTTTTAGCTGTTTTATATAGATATCTTACAATCAGTGGTTTTCGGAGTTTTTGCTTTTAATATTATAATAAGTATACAAATATACCGTATATTCTCTGCACGACAATTTCTTTTGTGGGAGTAATAACAGGTACAAAACATAGGGATCTTTTCCACTTGGCGCCCACAAACGGTACAAAAATGACATTCTTACAAGGGTTGAGTGCGCGCATGCGTCTGGCATAATAACATTTCGTAATTGGTTTGTTCGTTGTTAGTTGTTCACTGTAGTTGTGCAGAGAGTGTCGCGTTAACAAAAATGGCCAATTATAATTTGCTGTGGCTTTTTCATAACATTTAGTCAAAAAAAAATATTGCCTAATGTCGCAGAATTCGCCAAATAAATATCATATAATGTTTTATTATTAATTGTTTTATTTTATTGCAGTACTGGTGTTAATTTCAAAACGATCTGTTGGTGGGCACCAAACGGAAAAGAACCAAACATAGTTCTATTTATATTAAAGCTTTGTAAGAGCAGCTAATATTTTATACGAAATTGCAAAAAGATATTTACCCCTAACGGAGTTAACTCGGAAAAGTGGGGAACGTTAATGCAAACTATTGTAGACTATAACAAGTTTATGAGAGGAGTATACCCCAATGACCAGCTACTATTCAACTGGGCGAAGGTCAATAAAATGGTACAAAAAACTGTTTTGCCAGCTTTTGGATTTGACGATAGTCGATGTTTTTAGGCCCGGCATGGCCAGGTGGATTAGGCGCTCGACTCACAATCTGAGGGTCGCGGGTTCGAATCCGCATACTACCAAACATGC